GAGAGAGAGAGAGAGAGAGAGAGAGAGAGCTGTTCCTTTCAATGATAGGAGTGGAATCAAGAAGAACTTCATCTTTTAGTCTGGTAACCTGTAAATCTATTACAGATAAAATGGGGCTTCCTAAATGCACTTCGAATGTGCTACATAAACTTTTCGGTCATTTAAACTGTGCTTATATAAGGCGAATGTGAGCTAACCAGCATAAGCAGAGCTATGATATTTGAAATGTGGAAAATAAGGAAAAAATGTCAACCATGTCAGTGAGGATTGTGTTTTACCTTAAAATGTTACACAAACAGCTGCCCCAGCTAAAAACTGTTTGCCAGGGATACTTGTTGACATGACTTAAACTGAAGAAATTCCTAGTGGATCGTACATTTTTATTGCTGAAGACGGCCAGGAGAGCTTCTCCTCAACTTTATGAGTGGTTATAGCAGTACCAAGACTGCTGTGATGTTTAAGCCATTTCATGATTACAGCACTTATCTAAGCCCTTAAAATCCCCATTGAAGTGTCAATTTCAGAAGACAGACCTCTGAAATACTAAAAGATCAGAATGTAAAACGGGTGTGTTTGACATCATTGCAGCAAAAGTTATGGCCTAAATGATTATCCTAAATGGATTTCAGTGGATCTGCATGCAACTATGCACAAATTTACATCGCACTGTACGCCTCTAGTGATGCAGCAATCGGTTGACACAACCAATTGTATTTCGTGATTACATGAGTCATAACATTGAGTCTGGAAAAGATTATTTCTCAGGAATTAGCAGAATGCATAACAAAGCAGACGAATCTTGTGCTTGTGTTGTAGGTACCAGCTGGGCTTCCAGTCATTGACAGACAACGTCTAATAAGAAGCAAACATGTCTGACATATACACTGCAGTAAAACTGACACCAGTTGTCTGGAAGCAGGTTTCTTAAATCTTTTTCCGAGCAACAATCCCTCTCGCTTCTGCCAGATGATATTGCTTATTGCTGGCTCGCATGACGTCAGACAACAGGGCATTCTGTGTTCCCAAGTTAAGTCTTTTCTGGCAAATTCTGCGGATCATGATTTTAATTAAAAGGACATCCTCATTGAACCCAACCATCTGTTTCGTTTAGTGATGTTCTCCCATGTTTTTTTTCTGGATGCCTGTTTTAAGTGAGATTGACACATCTGGTCAGAAAATGCTCATCTTTTGGTCACCCTTTTGTGTTACCTGGACATATCATGTATGTACTGCAAGAACAACGATTCATGTATGTGGTAATAATGTCAATGCCCAGCTACACATCACTGTCACTGCATCATTTCCTGATTAGTTTGGAGATACTGTATTAACATTACCAATATTGCATGTTCCTTTATGAGATTTGTAGGGTATTCAAAGCCATCAGGCTCTATGTGATAATTTAATAATGACACCTGTATATAATGCAGGCTTCTATCAGCGTGATGCTGAATCTCGGAAGGTATCATAAATGCACCCGTATAAAGACAAAGACTATCGCGACATTCTGTGAACCTTGAAGTAACTGCGATGACACACTCTGACTTTGATAGATTTGGTCACTTTCATGTTTTGATGTTCATTTTTTATCATGTGTACGACACTTTCTTACCTTTATTATTAACAGTATTCCCAACTCTGAATTTAAAATATTCTTTGCTGTAAAGGGTGCAGTATTACTATGAAAATAACATCCACACTGCAGGGAATAGTTTAGGCTGTTGTATTTGAATTACCTATTAATTCAGTATAATTAAAACATCGCACATTACCATTCAAAACCCATAACTTTAGAATATTATTAGCCTAAACGGTTGTGTTGCACCTATGATAGCAGCTGTTAAAGCCAGAAAAAATGTGACTGGCTGTCCTGTATCAACCGCCGAAGAGGAGGCCCAAGCTGACTTTCGTGTGTAGCATGTTAGCTGAATGCACTCCAGCGTCTTTTTAACATTAGCCTAACAGTGCCTGTGTGTAGCCTACACATGGATTTGATGAGGGATACAGCAAATTCACACGAGTGTTCATACGTATAAAATTTGAAATTGATGTGAAAATGTCCGGAAATATTAATAATTGTTTCCACATGGCCGTCCAAACTCCATTGTTGGCATTAAATGCACTTCTCCTTAAACTTTTCACAGATGTTTAAAACCATCTGCAAAATGTAGATTGTCGCAATAAATTTTATAATTCTAATCCCATAAAATACAAGGATACAGTATTTAGAAAATCAGGCAATACATTAAGATAAGGCAGTGTAATTATGATACACTAAATATTTATATTGTAATTATATTTATGTGACATTTAGTCCCTGGACTGATGAGTTATCCAGTGAAATACAGCTGGGTGTTTTACTGGAGCAATTTAGGTTAAGTGGTTTTTGAAAGATAAAACAGCCAGAAAACTCTTTATCATGTGGATGTGGCATAACAGTGCCTTTTGACAAATGTGCATGTGAATGAATTTTGGAAGACTGTAGATCTTTCGTGGCAGGTATTGAGGCAGGGGGATGGGGGATGAGTGATGCACTGTTGTGGAAATTTTGGCCGATACCAATATTTTTTTGTTTAATATCACAATACCAATAACCAATCTGTCAATATGTATAGACTCAGTATGAAGCCTATATATTGGATAGCAACATCAACCAAGACTGACACACTGGATCCATGTCGATATATTAATGATATATTGTACATCTCTAGGGATGGGTCTTTGTGCTTATGCATCATAAGATGAGATCTTGATAAAGCAAACTGTTAGGGAGACAGGGTCTGGAAGCCATGGTCCAGCTCTTGTTTAAGTTTCAGAGCAAAAGGTTCATTTGACCCTTGTTCAGTTTGCTGATGATTCATGCCTCAATGAGTGGGCCTTTTGGTTATCCCGAAAATTGAGATTTGCATAGTTTGACACTCTGAACCACCATTGATGGAGCCGTAGATGTGCTTTGAGTCGTTCACATTCAAAGGGACAACTCTTGGAAGACCTTGACAGTGGTGTGTTTCGTAGTGTTTGTAAAGGTCGATCCCTTGGCCCGTAACATAACATCCCTGCGGCCGTCGTCACAGAAATCCATAACGTGCATTCAATACACGCCAGGGGCCAGTTCATTTATGTCCCATTGCTGTTTCAAGCCATTTTATTGGCTTGTCCACAAGATAATAACATGATTGTGTAAGGGTAATAAAAGTGGGCGTTTATGGTTGTGCAGTGTGTCAGGGACATGATTGACTTAACATATTAGTTATGAGCTTTTGGCTATGTAGTTATGTTTGTAAATCAAGCAACTTTGTTTTTATCATCATCCGAAATGTGCACCTATTCCATAAATGAGGCACAGTTTCTCAAATACCCCTCCTTATATAGTAAAGTCCCAACTTTGGGTTGATCTGTTTTCATGACTGGGTTTTATTCCTAATAACTAAGTGGCTGATGGGGCCTCTGTCGGTTGATGCTCTTTACTTATTAGATTGTTGTCAACTTTTCCCATTGACCTTGAATGTTCACTAACCAACCGCTTGTTCGGCACTTGTAAGTTCCAGTTAGTCTCTAACTGCATTACGTCGGAAAGATTAGAAAACTATCACGGCCTTCAGAGCAACTTAAGCAAAATAGCTGAAATGTAGCTGGGTGGAGGAACTCAGGGTAAAGGCAAAATCCAGGCTTTATATTGGGCTGTCTGCGTGGAGGATGGACAGGATTCTGAATGGAACTGCAAAGATGTCATTGACAGAGGATCAAGATGGACGTCTGGCTAAAAGGTCACAGGGACTGAAGTACCTCCCATTCACCAGCTGCACCTTAAATGCTGCTAACAAGCTATAATTCCAGACCATAACTAAAGCAGGAACAAAGCCTGGACCCCATGGAGACTAGTAATAGGTTTCACAGCATCGAAACACTGGCTACTATCAGCTTCTGTCCCTGAGACATTTGCATTTCCAACAACCGCATTTCCCATGCCAGGCACATCAATGGCACCTGCACTTTATAGCACAGTTACTGCATTTTATCACCCACTGGCTGCATACTGTCTAGTTTTACACTTTCTGGTATCGTTTAGTACTGTCTTGTG